AAAAAAAATGGATTTGGTCATTTTTAAACAATAAAACACTCTTATTAACAAATTTATGAATCAGCAGCTTCTCCGAAGCAATCAAAAGCGCAAGTGACAGAATAACAAAGAAAACAAACAAGACACAATGAGACGCGTTCAAATTGCACGGCTATTTACAGGCGAATTAATTAGAAGGATTTATGGAACAATCTAGACTTCACCTACGGTCCAATGTAAAGCAAAGGAGGTTAACAAGAATTTACAATGTAATAAAGCAGTCAGAATGGACCGAGTGACAGAGTTGTTGGTCGCGGCATGCGCCGGCGCACGCATGCACTACATAACAATTAACTAATGGGAGATAACTTTTTGTAGAATATTACCTAAAACTGTATCTCTTTACAAGTTTTCTCTTGAATTCGCTACACATATAGTTACTTTTGCTGATGCGGGTCCCGTTTATTATTAATAATATATCTATACATATAAATAAAACTAAGTGTCTGTATGTAATACCAAAACAACTGGCTTCTATTAAGCTCAGGAGATTATTCGCATGCTATTAAAGCATAGGAACCATTTAAAAACAAGTATTTGTCTGTCTGTCCGGGCTAATCTTTGAAATGGCTGAACCAAATGTGATGAAACTTTACGAGGAGATAGAGAGCAATGCCAGGAGGGACCTAGGTTATATTATATCCAAGTTTAAAGACATGTTTTTTGAAGTTATACTTCTTTTGAGACGTTTGGGGAAAATGATGATAGTGAATTTTTTACGATGCGCGCGCACACCGACACCTAAAAACAACACCATGAAGTTGTTACGATGCGCGCGCACACCGACACCTAAAAACAACACCATGAAGTTGTTACGATGCGCGCGCACACTGACACCTAAAAGCGACAACATCAGTGGGTAATTGTCCCTCAAATTTCTAAAATAAATGATCTCTTATTATTTTAAATATAAATAACGTTACATTAATATACCCTATCCATCGACGAGGTGGGTCGCTAGATATTAACAAATTATTTTTAAAATGGGTATCGTAAGAAGCGACAGAGCGGTAGATCCAAACGTGATAAGTCTAAGTTTAGCAGTGGACTTTCGATAGGCTGTAATCAATGAATGAAAAATAAAATATCTAAATTGCCTTGCAGGCCTAGCGTAATGTATACGGGAAATCGACCCAACTTGTATGTGGTAGAGCCACCGCATTATTATGGTTGTAGCACGAAAGGGTTCACTCGACCGACGGAGGACCACACTCCTACAGAATACCAGCGTAAAATAGCAGCTTAATGCTGTTGTGTTTCGTATGTTGCGTGTAAAGAACCGAAGACCCTTTATACTGGACTAGGAATATTTTGTATATAATATTTTGATTCTTAAACGAGGAGATGTAGATGTCTATGGACCACAGCATCAGGTGGACTGTGCGCTCGTTTAGAGAAACGAAGACCCTTTTTACTGGAAATGAGACGTTTCATCTTAGTCGTAAGGAGTTACAACGCATCGGCGTCTTGATTCTTGATCGATGATAGTGCATAAGTCACAGCATCCACTTACCAGTGTAGTAGTCGAGCTGACATTGATGATGAGTAATGCAATGATTTTCGAACCTCCTAAATTTTACTATACATCTAAACAGTCATGTTATTCAATACATTCATAACACAACCCGGGGTTGAGTGGGGTGGGTGGTGAAAAAAAAAACGCCTGGTAATCCACTGTGGCGATGTCAGCGCGACGAATCCGTGACGAATTGCCGCCTAACCCGGCCAAATCCCGACTTTGTCCCCTTATTTTATTATTTCTCTTATTGCTTACAACTCTACCCCGGGAACACTGCGTCCGCTTTTACATTATTCATTGTGCGTCGATTGGTGACACACTGCTTATTGTCCACAGATAAAAAAAACTAACTTGTCTATGGAATGCGACAGTCGTATACGACGCAATTATATGTATATATTGGAATGAACGATTTAGATTAGTAAACCAGCAATTTCTTGCATGATAAACCACATTATTTTTGAATTGCTGTTGTTTTAATACTACCCTCTAATGAGCTAAAAAAAACAATTCTTCATGTCACAGGCGGAGCAAAATTTGTTGGTTGCAGTTTCGGCACATTTCATCAATTCCATTTAATATAGTCTACTATATTGAATTTATATCTAGAAATCTAGATAAGTAGTTTTTACAGATAGAAAACTAGTTTTTACGGATTTCGTTGTTGACATTGGTACGTCGAACACCGTAGTACCCGCGTGACCATGTGTACTGTAAAGTTACACGAAACGTCGAAAATACAAAGTAAGTTAGTGTACGCGATAAAATCCGTAAAAACTAGTTTCCTTTAAATGTGTAGTGTTCGTGTAAACATAATAAACCATTAAGAAAGACCCTTGTTCATAGTTCTCGTGAGTTAACTCAGCCATTAGGAACAGCAAACTCGGCTTGAGACCACCAAGCCATCAGCGCCACCGGCGAACATCAATCAACCCTCAACGGTAGACAATAAAACACATATAAAATATCAGATCGTAGCGTAAAATACCTCTTGAAAAGATTTCGGAGTTTTACGAGAGGAGCACTGTATCGCAGAAGGTACAAAAGATTAGCACGCGGGGTGTCGTAAAGAAACAATTTTCTGGCTTCCCCGCGCCGAGGGACCGCCTCGCTTTATGGAATATGGCGACGTGATAAAAAATGTCGTATTCGCGCTAAAATTTCCAGATTTTCACTTAAAATTTTCTTGGCTTAACTTCGGCTTTTGCTTTACAGTTTCTTGGATCTTCATTATCTACCTACTATATCTTATATTGCGTTGACTCTTTTTGTTTTTGCATCAAGTTTTCTGTTTCGAAATTTCTTAATATTTGTGTAATTTATATTCATTATGCTTAGAATAGTTAAATATTTAAGTTGGAACGCCTAAATTTGTCTAATGATTTTATCATTATTTACTTTTGTTTTTGGATTTAACTTTTTATTCTGTCTAGTCCTTGATGTATCTATGTTTTAAAGCGTGTGAGTAGAGTGTTTCTTACATTTCTAGTAAAACAAACTGCATTATTAATTCAAACAGAACATTTTATTGTTTAATCCGTTTAGAGAAAAATAAAAATATAAAATCAATTAATCAAAATCACATTGACATACAAGATGGACGTACACCAAATAGCATATTATACATTTACGAGTTAGATTTATGAAAAAATAAGTTTAAGAACATCGTAAGAAACCTACCGCGATGTCCGCACACTACGCCCTAACTTAGACAAGAACCAACTACACAATTTTTTTTATGTTATAACTCATATACAGACAAAATGTAACTAATTTTTTTAATGCAAGGCATCCCGAACATCCAGGGAGGGGCCCACTTGTCTCAAACACAAGGTTAAAAGTATGGCTTCCACGTTAACAATGCGAGAAATAATATATAACACAAACAAAACAATTCAGTCTCAACGCCCAAAAATATGCCTAACATAGTACACTAAACAAACAGACCAGACGCTGAAACAAGCGCAACTATAATTTTGCAACAAAATCACAAGATATTTACGATGACATTTCATATTTTTCTCTTAAATCCTGTTGTTTTAAATTGATCGATTTTGTTGCAGAGTTTTTAATCGCGAGTTCCTCGCGTCCCTATCCTATGGAATTACGAAATGCAGCAATTCTTTACAAAAATAAATCGTACCAATAATGAATATATCTCAAACCAGCTCGAGATCGACTTACACTGTACAAAAATACGGCAAACCATTTTAGTTTATTCAAAACTTTTTGTTCCGTTACTCGTGTGAGAGCGAGAGAAAGAGCCCGTTGTACCCGAAACACAACGCCACGTCTAGTTAAAATTTATCCTGTAAAAGCATCTAGTTCTCTATAAATATAACGCACATACATATACATAATATCCGTCAGCGGTAACCGCTCCCATTCGTTCGCGGACATTCGCTCGCGAACGAGCGTCCAGTTCGCGAACAGATGCGAGCCCACCGCAACGGAGTCTAATTACACCTAGCGTATACTGCGTACGTATTCTTGTTTCAACTAACTAATTAGTACTCCCGCCCATCTAACCGTTAGTAAATGAATCGGCATAATATATCAACTATTTACGTATATATTTTATCTAGCCGAAACAATAACGCTCTAGCATCTACCACCTTTAAAATCAATGTCAATAATTTAAAATTCTTAATAGTAACCTTATTATCTCACTTAGGCAAGTTAAAATTGTATCTTTTACGTATACATCGTTTTCTCATTATTCTTCAATATACCTAATTAGATTGTCAGCTAAGCTCAGAGACGTGTAGCTGAGTAGAGTTAGTACAAACGCAATAGAAGTTAGTGGCTTCGGAAAGACTTATCGTGCTTTTTTATTATTTACTTAAAATTACAATTAGTATACACATATTACAATCAACGTTTTACGTATTTTTTTTTAAATCGTATACATAATTCCGCAAACAAATTTCGAACATCGGCGCCAATGTTCAATTATTAAATCAATAAAGCGTCATAGATCAGATATCGATCGTCGATACGATAGTATCGAGCGAAAGTATTCTGTGGTCGCACCCTTTGAACACCCCTTCACTGTAACGTTAATTATGATAATTTTGAAACTTAAACTGCATTCAATGTCAGATTGAGAGAATCGTACAGTGTCAAGAGAATGGCCAATTGCAAAAACGAAGATTTGTTCTAAGGAACTTAAGCTAGCGGCGCGTCCTCGAGCTTCGATAGAAGCCCTCAGATGAGCCGGCGTCACTGCTCTCCGTCACATGATTTTGCAGACGGAGCGCAGTGTTACAAAGCAAGGGAGGCGGAATATAAAAACTAATACGCGAGCACCCCCTTTACAGACTTCGTTTTTGCAATGGCCAAACTAAGAGCAGGGGTGCACGAGGTAGCTCGTGGTAGAGTTGGGTGCTAGCTGGGGATCGCGCCTCTGAATCAGGTGGGATTTGCTATAGGGGGTACTCACGACGTCCGGTGTTGAGGCGCCGTCGTGGCTGCTGTCTGGAGCGGACCGGGGCTCGCCGTTCGCGTCTGGCGGCCGCGCAGACTCCCGCTCGTCGATCACAAGGTCGATCGGCATCTTGCCCTTCAAGCAGCTAATGTAGCGGTGGCAGAAGTTGTCGCACAACTCGTGCACCTGTCGATACAAAGGCTTTCGTCAGTTCACGTACGTCATTACATAACCCTTGCTTAACCCAGCCCTAGTGGGCCCTACAACATTATTTGCTTGGGAGGCTGTTAAAAAAATGTTACAAATAGATATATTGGCGATTCTCTAGTCCACGTCAGCCCTAGTGGGTCCAGCAGCAATTTTGGTTGGGGATCCTTTTTAAAAACTATACCAGCTATACATATTGCAGCCTCTATGACTTGAGGCTCTATACCATTTAAATACTGGACACAGCAGTGGTCTACGCTTTATTGCTATATGGTACTGTGATGCATTGCCCTCCATTAATTTTAGAAAAAGCATGCGGCAAATGAAAATTCGTCTGATAATTCTGATAATTCTGATAATTCGTCCTGTGGTGACGGAAGAAAATACATCTTCTCATTTGATCCCGTAGATTTCATAAGAGACGACACTGAAAATGTAGCTTCCGTTAGTTAACAGTATCAGAATAACCATCTCAATGAGTTCAGAAAGTGCATAACAGCGACGGATAAACTAACGTAAAAGGTGCTAAAATTCTGATACTTTGCCGGCGTGACAGTTAATGAATATCTCCAAACAAACAAAGGCCTATATCTAGCAGTGGACTGTAAGAGAATGGCGATGAGATATATTATTATTAACGTGTACAATACAATATCCTTGTTTATGGGCATTTCATGTTCTTCCTGTACGCTTAACAAACTTAAGGTATGTCATTTTAGTTCAGCCACTGATATCACCAGCCAACTTTACGACCGATATCCACCTGCATAAAAAGTAAAAACAACAACACGCACCTTGCGATATTTGAAAAAACAAATAACATTTATCGTATCATCGATGTCAATTAGTTATGTTTTTTGAATTTCTCTCCTATTTATAACTTTACCGTTAATATATTCGTCAGCTACAGTGATACCAGCATCAAAATTCAAAAAAAGTTATTGATCAGTTTCTTGAAGCAACTATGTTAAATCAAGTTAAGGTGTTACATTCACATTTTATTAAAATGATGAATGTTAACATATCAATTAATAATGATTTAGGTATTATATTTACACGAACACTACACATTGAATAAAACTATATTTTTACGGATTTTTTCGCGTTTAATTTTACTATTTTAATTCCCGACGTTTCGGGTGCTTGGTTCGATTTACGCAGAATGAACTTACAGTATCTTGAAGTCTATCAGTGGTATGCTTGGGTTTGGATTTAATTTTGTTAATTATAGGATCCCAAGCAGATGGCAGCACCAAACCAAAAATTAATATTAAAAAACTGAAGGTAGCCGGGCTAACTGTAACATCGGGACGTCAAACATCGACGACCATGGGTTGCTGTAAAGCACCCGAAACGTCGGGTATTAAAATAGTAAAATTAAACGCGATAAAATCCGTAAAAAATAGTTTTATTCAATATCAATTAATAGTTCTTTTATTTTAGAGTAGGCTTTTGTTCAACAATGGAATGTATATGAGTTAGACGATGATAATGTTGGCGTATACAATCACCAGCCAAAATTGCTAAATGTAGATGCTATATCCGATAGGCTTAAGACTACACAGAGTATAAAGGCTATGAATTAATTAAAACTAATAAAAACCATGCAACAATAGAAATAAAAGGGAATACATTTAGCATCGCGGAGGGCCAACTGTCGCACTACGCACACCTCTAAAAACTCAAAAACGCAATTTAAAAACTTGTATTTAAAATATTTTTCCCGTCTCCTAATAAACACGACCCCCGACTGTGTATTAATTCCGTACCTTATACATTTTCATAGGCATAATTAGCTTTGAAATTAACATAAGGCAATAAAAAGACTAAAGAAATTTTTAGACAGCGCTCAACACGGTGAAAAGTAATAAAATGGCGACAGGTGGGAAGCGAAAAAAAGAAGCTTTTCGATAAACGAACGAGCTCCTCGAATAGTCTTAGCGTATTCGAAAATAGAACACAGCACCGGAAGCGGAAACAACGCTACCCGCTGTTGACAGTCAATTATGTCTGCGTACACTTATTTCCTAATCGACAGCTTTTCCAAATTAAACAGTGGCGGTAAAAAAGAAGTACGCGCGAATGAATATCATAGTTTGTTTATCATAATTTGAATTTTACAACCGACCGTTGAAATTCATATTTATGACCGCGTGAATTTTATTGACACTAGAGAGGATAAACCGACGCGTTTTACAGGCACCGGGCGGTTTGCGAGCATTGCGCTGTCAATGTCAAAATTTTGATTGAGAGCGCTTTTATAAGCTAACAGAATGACGGAGTAAACACACAGTTTTGTATACTTTCGATTTGGTCTCTAATCCCGCGTTCCAAGATACGAATATTTTCGATTCAGTGACAACGCTTAAGATTTGACATCGCAACTCTTAGGGAATTCAAATTTGGATCCGCTGGCCGCCCTCCGGAGACACTGATCAACAAACATGACCCGTATTTGTATAATATGAGGAATTACAATTGTATGGTTTAAATTGTCTGATATGACGTTTTATCGGTGAAGCGCGATGTCTTTAATGAGATATTACGACATTCCCGAGTCTCGAGTTCGGTCCGATTATCGTTTCGAACATCAAACTCTTTCCAGAAATTTAAAATTTGGATACGGGATTGAAATATGGAGTGTTTCTGGACGAATACTTTTTATTTAAATTTGGAATGTAATGTGATCTAATGGCGGCCGGTTGACTTATGGATCGGGTTTGTTGGAATGCCGAATTAAGGTCACATAAAATATGTACACATTGAGTAAGCTATCGTTAAGATTATTTGATTCATCATAAGCTATCGTATAGATCTTGATCTCTTATGAACTTATGATGTAATTAGAAGAAGATACTCTCAGATATAACGATGCTGTACTTAAATAATCAGTAACGAGCTAGTAAGAGAATGACAAGATAGGATATGTATATTTACTAAGTGGCAGTTTTTTGGAAAGGCTTATGTTTAGAAGAGCTTTTATGATTATTTGTATTAATCATGAAGACGATGATGATGTTGATGATTGTGCAATTATAATATTAAAGATGTTCTATAGTCAATTAGTCCGATGCTATTTACAAATCAGCACATATTTGCATAACGCTACAATATCATTATTTTTAACTTACGTAGAAATTCTGCCCGTTAAGGTATGGGAGAAGTAGATTTGTTAGACTTAGAATAGAATAGAATATTTTTTTATTCAATATTGATCACATGTGTAATTCTTATTAAAAGTAATTTTTTACTTTACCACTGGTTCGAGAAAAAACCTCTGTCCTGGGAAGAACCAGCAAGAAACCCAGCGTAATTATATATTCTACGTGTATGTTTGTGAAAAATTCTAGAATCCAATGGAAATAAAATCTTGCAATGAAGTAAATATCTTATTAAATTCATAACGATTAAAGAAAAACAAAAAAAAATGTTTAGCATCTCGTCGTCAAACGTGTCCAACCAAGACTGTATTCTTAGACACCATCGCAGGTACGTCCACTAGAAGTATTTTTAATGTTTTTAAAAGAGGTCTAGAGTCAGCTGTAGCGGTGCCAGTAGCGTGGGCCGGATAAGATCTCGCAATCTGTGCCACGGTCGATTCGCAACTAAAAGGGTTTTTTTTTTCTTTCTTGTAATACGCCACTTCCCTCGCTAATGCGGTACGTGGGCGCGACCGGGCGCCGCGTGGATGGATAGTCACGTTGTGAAATGAATTTTTCCACCCGCCCAGTAATAGACGTAAGTAGTGCGTAAATAAATACACTCAAAACATCTTTGATATCTTGTTTCTCTGATTAATCATCCGCGTTTCGCGATAACATCCGACTTTGCTTCGAAATTCCAAATGATTTTTGGTTTTATTTACCATTTTTATCTGGTTTTAAAGCATTGTTTAAAGATATTGTTATCTGCAGATTGAGTCGAACATTTAACTCTTTGTTTTTATTTACCTTTAGTATACTCGTATTCATCATAATCATCGTCATGATCATCTTCATGATCCTTATCACAACCCAAAATAAATCTATGGAGGTAACATCCTCCATAAATTTATTACTATTGTGGAGAGGGTATTAGCCACAGTCAAACCATCACTCTACCTGATGGTAAGTGGTTGCTGCAGTCCATAGACACCGGCAACTAACTCCTTAAGATCCCAAAGAAAAGCATCACAGTATGTAGTGCTATGGACTCCCGGGATAGGGATCCCTTCAGACAGGAAACAATAAGTAGGTGCACTGTTACTTTTTCAGCCTATTAAAATCCACCGCTAAACATACGCCTCCTCCATAGATTGTTTCATAGGGGGGATATTTGCCACAGTTGCCATGCTTGGCAAGCGGTTTGGTAACCGCAGTTTTTTATTTTTCGTCTTTATTAAGAAGACGCTGCTGCCCATCTACTGATTTGTTTCCCACTGTCGCCTCTTACGACACCCGCGGGATGATATGGTGTAGTGGATATTCTCACACTGCCACTATACGGTAAGTTGCACTGTTATGGGGAAAATAGGCTAGAGAATAACACTAACCTAGACTAATTCCTAGGCAGAAAAAGAGCCTAATCGCCTACAACACCTAACTGGTTTCTATTTACGTGACATACGATATATTTCTGTACAAATGTCTGTTTATAGCAAACGTTTACAATTATGCATTGAATGTTGGCAAGCCTGCCATGATTTACTCGTTCAAAACTGTTTTTCATTTTTAAGGCGTACATGCGACGGCGTTGCGTGTATAAAATGGATAATGCTACTTGCATTATCAGGTTTTTAATCGAATCTTTGATAAACATATTTTTATCTGTATTATTATTATTATATTATTAAGTACATGATTTGGGGATAAGTGTTTTATTAATCAAAATATTATGTAGCTAGTATTAAGTTAACTATAAATTGTCCTATACATTTTCAGATGTCGCTGTGATCCAAAATTTGTCATAAACATGCGAGGGAAACTAAAACAGAAGATGGGCTACAGCATCTTCCTGCTAACAACTCAAATAATTAAAAAAACTGCGGTTGCCAACCAGGCTACCTACTGTGGCAACTATGGCAAACTCCTCCCTAATAGGAAATGGCAAGGCAAAGATTGCCTATGTTCAGCAGTGAACTTTTATAGGTAATGGATGGATGTATAGAAGATAATCTACCAGGAGCACATGACCCACTGAGAGGTGAAATCATTAAATCAACAGTAACATTACAACTATGGCAAAATACCCCCTATGAGGCAATCAATGGGAGAGGCCTATGTTCAGCAGTGGATTTTTAGGCTGTAATGTTTGGAATGTAACCATTTGACCACTCGTAATTTCGGATCCCTGTTCATAAGGTGCTTTTTTATAATTTATTTCAATTAGGTTCACTGATCCAAATCAAATTAGCGCCCATGCAGAGTAGTAACGTTATTAATTAACGCTATTTCTAGTTGCAATGCTGTTATTACATTAAAAAAATTAAACATGTGAATGATTCCAAAGTGGAAATTAAAACGGTAGACGGAAAACCGTATAGCGTGGCGTTCGTGCGCATATAAAAGTTGTAAAAGCGGTCGCCCGGTCGTAAACGGCGGGTCCCAGGTTCGAGGCCCGGCCCGTAAACTAACAAATCTGACCCGCATCGTAAATCACTTAGCCACGTTGTTACAGATAACGTTTACGAGTTAGAAACAAAATATGAAATAAAAAGGAGCGAACACAGCTTTTTGCTTTAGTTACACATTTATAATGGGTATTGCCTTGGCTCGGTAAGGCAAATAAAGCCTTTAATGGGATCCATTTAAATTTGGAACACTATTTATAGTTCAAATATAAAAAAAATATGACATTTAACTAAAATTACAGAAGATTTGAATAAGTATAAACTTCGTTGTGTTGATTTATGATTCGAAAAGATATCGTTTTCGATAATCGACTAAATAGAAAAAGAAGGAAAAAGGTTTAAAAAAATTTCGATTTGATTTCGAGCGTCCCACCTTAGGTAATTAGGGAACATTCAGGCCTTCACTACATACAAAAAAACCTACTTGTCCAACCAATCACACTGCCCGTCGAACCAAAAAGGATTCAAGAACTGGCCGCGATGTGTCCGCCTTCGGCCATATTTAAAAAATTAAAAACATAAATCAAAAATGTTATTGGATGTTTTAAGTCAGTATAATTTCAGAGAGTTCGTTACAACGACCATCCAAGTGTATGAATATTAAATCATCTTTTTTATCTATTGTTCGCGATATGTCATTGTATCATGCAATGATGTCCAAAAATGGCGCTAATTTAACACGGATTGCATGGAACTCATCTTAATCAACATGCAAGAGCACAAATACAAAATAAAGCAAAAAAAAATTATCAAAATCTCATTGTAAGCTTCTCGTGGGACTGGATTTATTTTTTATTTTTAATTATTAGTCAAATCTCAAAAAACATCACCTGTAGACGGTGTGTAGTGGAGCGGAAATGGATCCAGCTAACGGCATTTTTTTCTTCGATTTCATTCGACAAAAACCGTAGACGAGATACGGACCGACATGTATAGGATATGAGCAAGGAGCAAAAAATATTTTTCGATCACGCAGACAGGTACACGTGGTTATAACAGACGCATCTCGCAATACGCGACAATTCGAAAACACTAACGTTCATTAAATCGATTTGTAGATGATAAAAATCGAACACTTCTAAAATCGAGTCCGCGACCCGCGCCCGGATATTTGTAAATTTCGAATGCGTCATCATTTTTATTTTAAAAATGGCCTTTATCCATACAGCCAGCGATTCCTACACAGGTATCGCATTACCGGTTATCTCGTTACAAAGCGTAGTGTGTTCACGCCCGTACGGTTTTTAACGAATTCGCCGGTTCCTAACGTGCATAGTAAGATCAATGCGGCGCCGGATATTTTATGGAATCCGCTGTGGGAGCGACCGCCGGCCGAGGTATCTCGTTTCTCGAGATCATTCGTCTTGATACAGACGTTAGTCAAACTAGTTTCGTCGAAACGTGACCATAATATTGACAAGTGGAATTAATTCTCGGGCCGGCAGTGCGGGCGAGCGGAGATTTGAATTTTATACTCCTAATTAGCGTCGTCGCGCGCGAATCGCTCGATTTGATAGAGAACGGCAAAAAGCAAACGTCCCGGGGTGTTACCGTTATCCGCCGATCGTGGACACAATGGCGTGAATCGGCAATGCGACATACGCAAGAAATCCGACCGGTTCTTCGAACGGAACCTGCCAAAACGACACAATACGAGCCGTGTAATATATGTAAGAACGAAAGCTCTCATACTCCACGAGCACCTGCGTCAAGGAGATAGAAACAGTTTTGGAAATTAAAAATCCAGCTCGATTTCGACCGGTCTCGGTTACCCGTATGCGTGTGCGCGCTACTTGCGTGCTCGGTATATCGGTATCTGGATTCAAAATCGACCGCTCGGATAATCGAATCGATATTATATCGGTAGATGTTTCTCTGGACCGGTTCCGCGCCGCCACGAAATGTTTTCCCTTTTTTTTAAATAAACAATAAAACCACTTACTTTTTCTAATTCTAATAGGTGAAACCGTAGGACTTGTATCGCTTGCACCATCTGAAAAGAAATAAAACGTATGAGTCCAACAAATACATCCTCGCTTATGAATAGTGTTAAATCTACAGGTTTTATTACATTTATAACTTCGAATTTAAGCTTTAATCAAAGGGCAATAGCGATGCATAATAGGTGTGGTTTAGTGCCGTGTCTCGGGGCCGGAATGAGCTCGATCGTACAAAGGCAAAGGAGCAACAATGGTCCAGACAAAGCGCTATGGAGCCCTGCAGTGCGTAGGGATGCGCAACCACTCATTATCGATATTGTATCGAGTCAATTGTGCTGAAAATCCACACTGTCGCTGGTCTGTTAATGTCAAATAACTCCGTTAATAGTTCCGTCTTGTTTCCACGTTAACATTGTTACAGATAACTTGGTCTGTAACAGAGAATATAGCTCCTAGCTACATATATTTAAAAAATTATGTAGCCTTAAGTTTAGATTTATTTATAACAATATAAATGTTGTACAACTCGTAGTGTCGCACAATGTATTCTATAAATTTAATCGATATTAATGCAGGTGTTACATATTTAACGTTGTAATTACAATCTCACTTATTCCTGACAAGAGGAAAAATGTAATATATCACTATTATAAATGTCTAATCTAATATGAACGTCACGTAATAGCTGCTGCTTGCTTATATGCATGTTTTTATTGTCTTAGTTATGTATTATTTTTAGGTATTATTTTGCGACATATTTCTTTATAAGCTGTTGTAACTTTGCTCTGTCAAAAGAGTGCACACATTAGTGCCTAGATTAAGCCTACTTTCAATAAAAATGTAATTATTTGTTCTCAGTTTGTGTCTTATGAAAAAAAATAAGACACGATCAGTAGAAAGAAACAGCGTCGTTGATTCGAGATATATGTTATAATTATTTTCAATCAACCCACCATATTCCATATTATGCATTATGTGCTATAATAGTTATACCTTAGGGGCCTTATTGTACATATAGAACATTCAGCGATGGCCAGGGGCGACAAAACGACGCTGTTATCCGAACGGCTCGAGCCATAGCGGCTTTGTATTCGATTCAGTTTGGAAGATTGGCTGGCTTTTTCAAATCGATACGTATCTAAAAGTAGTAGTTAATGCAGTTTTAATAGCGCCTTGATTTGTTTCTGATTGCCAGCGCAAGACGCGGGTTGGATTCCCGACCGCCTTCGCTACGCTCATTTGGATTTTGATTAGTAAGTTAGCTAAAAAAATAAGGTTTTGAAATCACTGTGCCGGTAAAATGCCACTAATTCTACATTCATCTGCCTACATTAGACATAGGTATTCGTAATTTTTGCTAATCAGGCAAAGGATCCATAAAATTTAGGACATTTTTTATTTTATTAACCAATGACAGTAGTGAGTCAAACTAGTTTCTTTTTGTTTTTTATAGAATAAGAGTGACAAACGAGCACACAGTCCACCTGATGTTAAGTGGTTGCTGTGGCCCATAGACATCTACATCTATCTTCGTTTGCGAATTAAAATGCAGATGCGTTATCAGCCGTGAGGACTAAGTTAGAATGCCTCTTTTCCAGTAAAAAGGGTCTCCGGTTCTGTACACTCACCATACGAAACAGCTGCTATTTTACGCTGGTATTCTGTGAGAGCGTGGTCCTTCCGCGGTCGAGCCGACCTATTCATGCTACAACTATACTATTAATATAGCTGAAGCATGGCTCTACCACGTAAAACGAAACGTTAAAAATAAATAACACATACGACAAAATTAATTTAATTCATTTACGAGAACGTCCACAATGAATATACAACAAAACTACCAGGACATCATGACATTTGCGAAGCTCAAGCTGCAATATCAATTAAAGGAATGTAGGTACTCGGTCCTGTAGCGCCACCCCCGAGTATTTGCTCAGACGTGCGTCGCTGACAGAGGCCCGGGTGACAGATAAAAATATGTTAACTCTGTACACAGTGTCTGTTTACCGGGGGGCGGAGCGCGGGAACTCCGCTGCCTCTTCGTCAACACCACGGGGCTACAATGTTTGTCAGGTTTAAGACGTTGTATGAAGCTTAAACAGGCTACTGTCGGTTTATGCATTTTGGGACGGATCAAATAATACAGAGTATTAAAAAGACCTTGACAACCTTGAGAAATCATCGGAACATGTGTACCATAAGGATTAAAGACATAAACAATTTTGTCGAGGCAGTGATTAATATTTATGCATATATTATATACGATATATAAATTTAACAGGAAAAGAGTTTTTCGTGAATTGAAATAATTTCATAAAGTATCATCATCATCATTACAGCCCTTCACAAGTCCACTGGTGAACATAGGCCTCCCCCAAGGAATGCCACAAAGCACGGTCCTGAGCCACCTGCATCCATCGACTTCCTGCATATCTTACAAGGTCGTCACTCCATCTAGTGGGGGGACGCCCTACACTTCGCCTGCCGGTACGAGGCTGCCACTCGAGAACCTTTCTTTCCCATCGGTTGTCGGTTCTTCGAGCTATATGGCCGGCCCACTGCCACTTCAGCTTACTAATCCGTTGGGCTATGTCGGTTACTCTGGTTCTACTGCGGATATCCTCATTTCTAAGTTTATCACGCAGAGAAACTCCGAGCATAGCCCTCTCCATAGCTCGCTGAGCGACCTTGAGCTTCCTCATCCGGCCAGCAGTGAATGACCACGTCTCAGTTCCATATGTCATCACTGGCAACACGCACTGGTTGTATAGTCTCGTTTTCAAGTTTTGAGGTATACCTGACGAGATAAAGTATATTTATTACTAATTTTTTTTTTATAGGATAAGGGTGACAAACGAGCACACAGTCCATCTGATGGTAAGTGGTTGCTGCGGTCCATAGACATCTACAATCTATTCTCGATTACGAATCAAAATGCAGAAGTCTTGTTACCCGTGAGGACTAAAATGTAATGCCTCGTTTCCAGTAAAATTGGTCTCCGGTTCTCTACACTTACCATACGAAACATAGCAGCGTTAAGCTGCTATTTTACGCTGGTATTCTGTGAGAGCGTGGTCCTTCCCCGATCGAGCCGATCCATTCGTGCTACAACTATACCTACTACATACTAATATAGTTACAGCATGCCTCTACCACGTAAAATAATTCATGGATGATTCGTCGAGAAAGCGAGACAAAAGATAATGATGACACAAATGGCTTAATTCCAGTCTCTAATGGTACAAGTGGCGATGAGTCTGTTTGCCAACGCCCAACGAGTAGTACTGGCTTGTCGCGAGGGTGTTTAATACCTCAAACACCGTGACAGACCAAACACAGATGTGACGTGAGCAAATAGCCTGGTAGCCAACTGAAGACCAAAGTAGGGTCACCAACTTATATTCTTTTTTCGAGACACACTCGTATACATATATCAGATGTATCGGAAGAAATAAGAATAATACACCATTATGTATAGATTTTATGTGCACTTAGATTAGCCGTTAAAGTTACTTAACTGTTTAAGTTATATTATATATGGTAACCAAAATATCATCGTTACCTTTGCAGCTCAATTCCACTGATAGATATGCGGCAATATTGCAGTGACTTAATATGATGAATGCATTTTTGTTTTCTTTTACAATTATTTACTTACTTTACTTCTTGAAATTATGAAGAATAATAATTTATGAATTATTATTAACGACAAACTGACTTTATAACTGCATCATACCATAAAATTGTTTCCATAAGAATTAAAAATATCTCTTAAACAAAATATCTACGTAATTAAATTCAATTCAATAATCAATTCTAATACTTTGTAATCAAATGGCATATATTTTTGTTTGACTTTTTCCCATGTATAAATATTATGCTTGAAAATGTATATTGCTTGTTACCCTACCTCCGTAACAAATCCCTCGTCCGCGCCGAACTTTCAATGTTAGTTTAATATATTAAAAAAAACTTAAACTCTCCTTTGTTGATATTTGATAACTTGTGCCGGGATAAAAACCGAGGCTTCTCGAAATTAATATGTGTGCGTGCGTATCACATTCCTATCTATTCCTGTATGATGTTGCTCAAATATACAAACAATTAATTCTTTTTCTCTGTCGTTTTATGGCATCCTAGTAGAATACACATCCTTTTTCTTTTTTTTTTAAAAAAACGTTACTTTAGTTTAGAATTTTCTCCCTTATCGTCTGTCTCCTGCCCCTGTATCGGGTTCTTCGTGCTATGTGACCGTCCCATTGCCACTTTCGCTTCCTGATTCGTTGCGCTGTGTCGGTTACTCGGATTCTACTTCATTTATCTTTTTTGCAAATTTTATCAGAGAAATTGCGAGCATAGTCCTCTCCATAGCCCGCTGAAAGACCTTGAGCTGCATCATTTGGCCAGCAGTGAAGGATCACGTCTCAGATCCATATGTTAATAATGGTCCATATGTTCATATCTCAAAACGTGGTAGAGCCATGCTGTAGCTATATTAATTGATAGTTGTAGCACGAATGGGTCGGCCCGGCCGTGGAAGGACCATGCTCTCACTGAATACCAGCGTAAAATAGCAGCTTAATGCTGCTGTGTTTCGTATGGTGAGTGTAGAGAACCGGAGACCATTTTTACTCGAAACGAGGCATTCCATCTTAGTCCTCACGGTTGACAACGCATCAGCATTTTGATTCGTAATCGAGGATTATACATATAACTCAATGAGGATAGATGTAGATGTCTATGGGCCACAGCAACCACTTACCATCAGGTGGACTGTGTGCTCGCTTGTCACCCGTATCCTATAAAAAAATGGCTAAACACACTGCTCGTACACATGTACATTGTTCAAGTTTTGAGGTAAAATATGTACGTGACGAGACGTGTCGTAATCTCCCGATGTAATACTTCAATACCTAATTTATAAAAGTCCACTGCTGAACATAAACTTCTCCCCATAGATTATCTGATAGGGAGGATTTCGCCATAGTTGCCAAACTTGGCATGCGGTTTGGCAACTGCAGTTTTTTATAATTTAGAGTTGTTATCATGAAGATGCTACTGCCCATCGCCTGTTCAGTTCTCCCTTGTCGTCTCTTACGACACCCAAGGGTCAATAGGGTGTAGTGGATATTCTTACACGACCACTACACGTTTATGGTTTCTTATAACGCTAATTTTAAAGTACGCTACAAACTAACGAAGCTTTGATAATTGTAACACCACAGAATACACGACGAACAAATCACTGTATACGCTTTCATGTGTCACTTGAGAAAACTAAGCGGTGACGCAATGGCGGCCAAGCGACCCCTGACCATTATCATCCGGGGCCTTGTTAAACAACAATAATGCTCGCTGAATGCCATTGTCTACCACAACCAAAAGTGCAAATACAGGACTCGGTACTAGCTAGCAAGCAGCCCGCGCAAAAACAACAGCCTGCGGCGTTATGCGTGCATCGGAAACTGCACTTAAAGCAACTGTACAGTAAGTGTTAAAATGCAATCGATGTACGAGTCACAAAGCTACTTAATCATATACAACTGGCAACCAATTATTTAACTTGTATCACACAGTAATAATTTTATTGGAATGGAAAGAAATTGCAAGTGAGGTGTATTTTCAAAGGATCCATTGAAAACGTAAATGGCCACTACAGAAATGCATAAATAATATGCAATATTTCTATAGATAACAGTCTGCGCACTTCTTCATTTGCTACTAATTATAGTGAGAAGGAATTATATGAATACTAGGTTTCTCCGTTTCTTTATCTAGATTAGCAATTATGCATAATATTTGGAATATTAATTTCTGTGACTGAATCGATCGTGCGAAAATTATTATTATGGCTTGTATTAATGGACAAAAACTATGAGAAATTTATTTTGTTAATATCACATTGCTCGAATTTACTTTTTAAACTTAATATTTGTATCAAAGAATAACTCTTTTCGTCGTCATCGAGTCCCAATAGTTGCACCATGTGAGTATAGTCAGTCACAACGAGTAAACATGTGGGCACACGGTGGCACCACATGTCACCAGGGACACATAAAAACACTACGATAATTTAGCTATTGCTCGTCGGCAAGTTTGCTCTGTGCCCGGATGTTGGTTGGTTTGTTTGTGCGCGTTATCTAGAGAAGGTTGGTTTAACTCGAGGACCGCATGAATGAGGCTTATCAGGCCCGCTGCAGGTAAGGCTGACAACATCTTAGTTTATGGCGTCACGGGTCGCTACTGTTCCCAACTTGTTACCGCTTTTGTATTTGATTTATGTTAATTAGTGCTGCTTACTTCTAAGTACATACTTATGTGTATTTTACTGAACAGTACAGATTATTGCCAAAAGAGACCAGGAAGAAAATTATATTTTTAATAAATATTTTAAATATGACAACACAGTTAAGAAACCATGTTATTCTGTTGTGACTTGTGACAGTGTTGAGAATAATTTCTCATTTTAATTTATAATATTTTAATAGTTTACCTTCGCAGAAGGATCTTTAGGAATAGACCCTGGCATAATTCCGCATTCCATCTGACCGTTCTGGAAGAACAATGACGCGATGCACGAAGCAATTTATGAACGGACTTCCAAACAAAGTGAAGCAAGCCTCGCCCCCGCGCTCGATTCGTAATGCCTTAGATTTTATTTGTTAAAAATCGGTTAAGTACCCGTGTCGAATGGCGGCGGTGGGTGGCCGCCATCTTATTTTTGTTATTTCACTTTTTTTCCAGCTAGCCGCAGGGGACAACGCGATTCAGCCTTTTTATGAGTGACAATATATGGACATTTTTTAATCTTCATTTTTGTCGTTCCCAGAACGTTACCTGCGGTTCGTTTAAACGGCTCCAACACTAATCAAATCGTAAATTAAACGGAGATTTTAAGTATAAAATGTTAACTATTTTATGGCGTATTAAACCTGGACCCGCTTTATTTATCTTATGTGATATAAAATTATAATACTTACTAATGAGTCGACCTCGGGGTCCGCTATGTAATAAGGTTTTTCTTGACGTATCTGTGGACAGAAAGAAAAGTTACAATTAATTTATGTTACATATATATTACACTCATCACCTGTCGAATGAATAAAACAATCGATAATGTAAAACGGATCGTATAAGATATATAAATGTCATTTACATTAATTAGTATCATAGTTTTATAAATCTCAATTTGCAAGATTAGAATCAATATTACACTTTGTAATCATTGTCTATCACACAGGCTGACAAATAAATCTTATAAGTGATTTATAAATTATCAATCAATAAAGAATAGCATGTAAGTAGACGCGAGTTAATGAGCTGGACAGTGTGTCGGAGGCGTATTAATGGCGGACGCAGCCGGGCTGCAACGCTTGTGCGTGGCTAATAAAATGCTCGCACGGCTGGCTGCGCGTGCGCATGTCGGTCACAGAGCATGAATGTAGAACCGATACCATATGGGTGACCATGTGCGAGCATTATTCGAAGGCTTGAAGCTCATGCAGTTGCATTCACTCGTGTCTCGTAAGGATTCGATACAGAACGTGTCAGGAATTCCATTAACGTCTACAATATCAGATGTGTATCGCAATTATTACAAATGACGCCGTACAGCCTTCATATCAACTTCTTCATCAGCCTATAAAATTATATATACTATATAGCTGGACATGAGCCTCTCCCGTTGTACGGAGGATTTGTCCTAATTATCACACTTTGCAGGTGGAACGACGATCGCAGTTACAGACGTCTCGCAACCATGTTTTTGCTGTCAGTCTTTTACGCCTGGCGTAATAATCAGAAGACATATGATTTTTCTTGAATTCTCCATAGTCTCATCGGCACGTCCTCGAGAGTCAAGAGTGATACATACACTTTCGTCGCCACCTTTTAGCCTAATTGTATATTGTACTTTGGCCATATTGAATTTATGGTGTAATTAATAAATAAAATGTACTACTGCTAATTTAGTTTGCCTGCCAAGTGAAAAATTTTAATTTATATTATTTAATATTTTTTATTTCACTATTTTTACTAAAATATCAACCATACTTGATGTCAACGGGTAAACATAACGACTACTTTTATGTTGAGTTGAGTTAGAGCGAGCGAGCGGACTCTACGACTAAAAATTGTGCAGACGCTCATAATGCACCGAATTTTCAAACTGGTAGATATTTATCACAATTAGTCCCTCCTCAAAAGCAAAATGTACTTAAAAGAAAACGTTATAAAAAATAAATTTTATACGAATATATAGTTCTAATCCTCGCATATTCTTTGACAACGTCATAGAAACTTTTTTCGATATTTGAACCTAGTTTGACCGGAAATGCGATACTATCACGCACCTTATGCAAGGCGGCCGTGTTGTTAATAGATATAAGTTGCCACCTTCGCTCGACCCTGGTCACAAGCCCAGTGCCTCGTTGGCATGCCATACACGTTCGAGATCACGCCTCTCACTACGTTAGATGATAAATCATGTTGCGGTTTTATTTATTAATATTTCTAAATGACAAATCGAATTCACTTTTAAATTTGTGATTTGTTAGAATCGTCAAGAAGCTCTCACATATTATAATGAATTGGAAAATAAATAAAACATTGTATGACCTTGAGTTGTTTTGATATTATTCAATTTGAGATTTATACAAATGAATTAGTTACGTCAAATAGATAGTAAATGTAACATTCTTAGAACCCTATTTATTGTTTTCGTGACAACCCTAAATACTTCACTCGTTTGTGGTTCGTTAGCTTTATAATAAAACTTGTCACATGGAACGTTTTCTACAAACAAATGCAATTCAAAACGCTAATTAAATTAACACCCTAAAACATCACAATAAGATACAAATTTATTCAAAGCTCAGCGCGCTACGTTTAACAAATGCCTCACATTAAAATGTATTAAATCGATTAAGATCTTTTAACTATAAATGCCATAGAAAATTAATTGATTTTAGAATTACGATCTTAATAACAAAATAAAATATAATAAATGTGAAAAATAATTTGTCAACCCTAGCACATACACATGTTAATATATATATGTGTGTGTGTGATAAATGTGACAGTATGGGCCCCAGCATGTCTGCCTAAGTGAATCCATCCGTCTATCCTCCTGTGGGAATACTAAAATCTACTAAAATTGCCTTGCGTTGTTTATGAAATGTGGCAGAATAATCACTATTGAAAAAAGGTAAGCAACCGCAGTTTTTTTTTTATTTTTAGTCGTTATTAGGAAGACGCTGCTGGCCATCTCCTGATTTGTTTCCCTTTGTCGCCTCTTACGACACCCACGGGATGATATGGGGTAGTGCATATACCTACTTACACCGCTACTACACGGTTGGTTCTTGTTTATGTATTTTTTTTTTATATACACTTTTTCACATTTTTGTAATTAAAATTAACACCAAAGTCCAAAGGAACACTTGAAATACAAAAATATTAAAATGTATAGGTTATTGTTTATGAACATAGACAAAACAGTCAACTAAATATATATGGATGACAATTACTGAGCATTATTAACTTATTACGAGTACTGTTCAGAGATAAGCGATGGCGCTTCGAACTTACATAAACGCGAAAGCCCCACCTCCGCCTTCGGGCGAGGAAGTCCCTCGTTTGGGGGGCCAGCGACCCATGAAGCCCCCACTTTGGGACACCACGAATTAAATGCTAATAAGGTACGATCGACCGATACCGCCTTGAGTGGTAACCAGCAATTTCGTTGTAACTACTCCACAGTTTGTTCTCAGACGATTCTACGTCAGGGGTTATTATGTGTATTTAGGTATTTTGGAAAGGTGGACCCCAATGTATTCCAAGTAAAGTGTAAACTGTGGTCACAGGCAGTAAACGTTACTTAAAACAAAAGTTTACATAAGTTTGTCTAGTACGCTAAATAAAAAATAATAAATAGTTATAATACAGCTGATTCGTGTGTTGAGCTGGTAACGAGGCAATCATGTTAGACACTAAAAATGACGTCTACTATTCGATTCATAATCGAGGAAAATGCATGTGTCTATGGACGTCAGGCAGGTTTACGTTCAATCAGGTGGATTGCAACACAGTCCACTTAATGGTAAGTGGATACTCTGACCGACAAGGCATCAACATCTATCTTTGACCTTAAATCAAAATGTAGATGTGTTTAAGGACTAAGATGGAGTGTCTCGTTACCAGTGAAATAGGTTTTGTACGTACTACGAGACAGCAGCAATATGCTGGCATTTATGCTTTTACGCCGGTATTCTATGAGAGGGTGTTCCTTACCCTGCCGAGCTGATCCATTCGTGCTGCAGCCTGCAAATGAATATACAGCTGCAGCATGTTTCTACCAATTACAGTATATTTATAAAGAGAAAATCATATTTAAAAAAAGCAAAGTATGTTTTTTTTAAATACTAAAGATCTCCATCTCACAAATAGGCATTGCTGTAAAAAGTTGAACTCGTTTAGTGTATGTACTCAAATATTAATTAATTTTTCGATGCAGTTTACTTCTATTCATTACATTTACAATAAAAAAAAAATAGAAAGCAGATGTTTTTATCCCTCTACTCTCGACGTAGTCGTAAAAACGAACGGCCATCTTGTGGAATAACTTTTGACTCGCTCTAAAATCTTTGTCCAAGCGCAATTGTCGTTTCTCTATTCATAACGTTTTACCTGCTCCTTTATCATCCATCCCTTTGTGCATTTTCAGGCGAAACAGTGCATTGTCAGAGTAATTGAATAAATGCCTTAAAAGTTCTTTTGTGGGCTGCACTAAACGTAGGACAGGGAGTTAGAGAATATTGTCACAGAATTTTTAGCCGATTTAGAAATAGAACAATGTGGATACAGTTTGTCTTCACATGCCCTCGCTACCTGAGTGTAAAAAATATGAAAGCGATCATCAAATTCATAATCAAACCATCGAAGCCTTGCACAGAATCGATGAAAATTAAACTCTACTAAACGCAAATTAAAGTGCATAATGAAGTCACCGATGCAAGTGGACGTTATTACTTTATGTAATGGACACATGTGGGGCCCAAAATCGCTACCAAACGTGGTACCCTGTAATTTGTTATAAAAAAATCTATTTATAAGATAAAATAAAGCACTGCGACGCTACCTAAGATGCCGTCGATCGATCTCGCTGGTTTTTAATAAATCAAATCGATCGCCCGATTATGACACTTGTCAACTGTGTCGTACGATTCCAAATCGTATGCAAGTTTTAATGGTAAATTATTCTGTAATGCGTAAAGGTTGAATTTTGTAATTAAGTTAGGTCGCCTCCTATTTAATAACGTTTTTGTACGGACAGGTGCGTTTTTTTATTCAAGTGTTTTTGAACTAAAAAATCGTTAGCTGACGAGCGGCTACTGAAGAAGTTTATTATCAAAATTGTTGCTTATTAATAAGACGTGGTCCTGTTATGAAATTTATTTTAGTAGGTATGTGCTCCCGGCCGAAATTGTGTGGTGTGATGGTATTATTCGGATAATATACGAATGCAAAATGGTTTTTTTATAACCGCCTAATGTGAACATATATGTTTACGACACACCTGTGAAGTCACTAACTAATATCACCATACAAAAAATGCCATAAATATCGTCTTAACAAAACTGCTCCTACTGAATATTGCGCCCATAAACCGAGCACTAAAAACCTTCTGTGCGACGTTTTGTTCTAGAGCTGAGCCAGGATCTTTTGTTTGCTTAGTCTCCCATAAATATGTTAATATTGGACTTATTCATAACGGGAATTTATAAATGTTTTCGTTGCGAGGGAAATAAAAAAGCGTAGTCGACGTCCGTCAGGGTCGTGCGTCCTAGATTCGATCCTCGCTGCTTACATCAGACAACAAGTTCTTTCTGAAACTCCCGTTCCCTCTCGCGAACATGTCATAAATATAGATGTGGACATAGCTTCGCACCGCAAACCATCGACCACATTGTCCCTAAAATTATTTTAACAGCAATTATTGTAACTACAGAATCCGTACAGAATTTAAATTAAG